ACCAGTTCGTCACCACTGATGAAGTGGCTGAAGCGGTGGCGAGAAATGGCCAAGCGCAGCTGGCAGACGTTAGGGTTAGGTTAGGGTCGGCCCCCTCAGGCCTGGGAGGGGAGGCCTCAACGCAGTATGGGTGCAATGCCCCCTAGCTTGTGCCAATAGACTGTTAGGCGATGGACGAATTAGAGTTGGATGGACAATGGCTGGGATGGTGCCCCTGGCAAAGCGGAGGCTTCAGTGCTTCCGCTGCTTTGCCGTGGGGCACACCCGTGCTAACTGTCAGAGCCAGGTGGACCGCACCAGCTGGTGCTTCCAGTGCGGTGGTAATGACGGGCATAAAGCCGCTGGGTGTCGAAAATCCCCGAAGTGCCCGGTATGTGCGGGAAGAGGGCTGCCTTCGGGGCACCGCGCGGGCGCGAGCGAATGTGTGCCATTCAACGGAACGGGACAGAGGGTCGGCGAAGTGGGTACGAGCGCGACCCCCGAGACGGTAAAAGACAATGGAGCTGATCGGGGAGCTCCAGTCCCTAGTGAAGGGACACGTGACGCGGTGACCATGGATACCTGCGATGGCTAGACTGGCACAAATCATTGTGAACAGATCTAGACCATCGCAGGACATGGTCGCAAGGGTGAGCAGCGAGCTAGGGATAGGACTTGTCGCCATCTCCGAACCCAACAGGGTTCCGGATGACGGGCGTTGGCTCGCTTCCACGGATAGCCCGCCATCAGCAGCCATAACTTGGCAATGGACACAGGCCAGGATACCATGCTCGCCCCTATGGAGAGGAAGAAGATTCGCGGCCGTAAACTGGGGGGACACAGTGGTAGTATCGTACTACTTTCCCCCCAGCCTCCATGAAGACGAATTCCTCAGGGACCTGAGCGAATTGGAAAGAAGGTTGGCGGGTACGGTGGGTCGCCCAGTGGTCATCGCGGGCGACTTCAACGCTCGCGCCTTCGCGTGGGACGGAGGTAGACGAAACAGGAGGGGGGACCTCCTCTTGGATTGGTTAGCCGTTATGAACCTACAGGTCATTAATGAGGGTGCAGAGCCAACTTGTGTACACCCTCGTGGAACCTCGAGGGTAGACCTAACGATAGCATCACTCTCGGCTGCCAGGATAATTACGGAATGGAGGGTCGCATCTGAAGTGGAGTCCCTATCGGACCACCGTTATGTGGTGATGAGGTTGAGGACCTCCATCCTGGGTCCGGAGACTGGGAGAGTGGCCCTCCGGGCCTTTCCGAGATGGGTGGCCAGCCGGGCTGACCCTGATCTGATGGAGGCGGTGGCGGTTTTTGCGACGTGGAACGAGATCCCCGGAGACGCTGCTGAGGGAACCCTAACTATGGATAGGACAATGCGGGATATATCGGACGTTAGTATGCCGAGGAAAGGGATGTCAAGACGACCGAACGCGTACTGGTGGAACGAGGAGATCTCGGAGCTCCGCCGCGCCTGTAACGCGTGCAGGAAGAGGGTCACGCAAGCACGGACGCGCGCAAACGTGCCTCCTGACGAGATAAGGGTCCTCTGGGGCGAATTAAGAGATAGGCGAAGGAGTCTGACGGGTGCGATCGCTCGATCCAAAGCCAGCCTCTGGAAAGAGTTGGTCGACGACTTTGATAGAGACCCCTGGGGTACGCCTTACCGCATAGTCCTCCGGAAACTGCGCTCGGGAGATGCGTCCGTCCTGGAGGTGCTTCCCCCTGAGACAGCAGAAGATATAGTGGCAACGCTTTTCCCTGCGGACTTGT